TAAGATAGTTAACTTTCTATTATGTATATTTTACTCTCACTGAAAATTAAATATACATCTATTTCTTGAAATGACATATATTCCTGTTTAAAAACCTGTAATGCATCAGCTAAATACCCACTCACACTAATTCTTCACTAATCATCCTTCTACTATTACCCTGTTCACATGTGAGCTCTTTAATTATTATCTTAATAGAAATTGCTGACCTTTTCGGGCACCTGGGTGGCTCAGTTGGTTAAGCATCTGCCTTCGGCTCAGGTCATGGTCCCGGGGTCCTGGGATCAAGCCTCTCGTTGGGCTCCCTGCCCAGCGGGGAGTCTGCTTCTCCCTCTCCCTCTGCCTGCTGCTCTACCAGCTTGTGCGCGCGCTCTCTCTCTCTCTCTCTCAAATAAATATTCTTAAAAAAATTGGCTGACCTTTTAATTTCAAATCATAACCTAGAGCTCAGTAAACAGTGCACTGTGTTCATTAAGTATGTTATAAGTAGTACTATCTGTTTTGTTGTCATTTTGTTTTACTTCCGGAGCAAACGTAATTCTCTTTGTCAACCCTGTGGCCCTTGCTCCATAATGATAGCGCTTAGGGTTGGTGCGGAGTGACGTGCACAGCTCCCCTTCTCCACGTTGCTTCAATGGTGGTAGCAGAACAGTACACAGGTCCTACCTGCCCATCGGAGGGAGGCGGGAACCTAAAAAGGGGCCGTGTTCTTTCTTAGGCCCCTCGCCCCGGAGAGGCCACCCAGCGGTGCTGTTGTGCCCATGGGGACACTGCCTGTGGCCCAGGACCCGCTCTTACACTACTTGGGGAACACAGTACCCTGAGATCGGACTCCCCCCGACCAAGCATGGTCATTGTGCTTGCTCTGTGTGATGCTAGAAATATTTTCCAGCATCCTCTTAACTTCTGTTTCTTAAAAAGGTTTGCTACTTGCAAAGCATTTATTGACCAGCAGAGGAGATCATATTAGCTTAAGCGCAGGGTCGAAAGCAAGCACTTCAGTGCCCATCAATATGTTATGCTAATGAGTGAGATCGGAGGTTCAGTAAAAAGTCCCTTCTCGTTGCTGTCTTCCGCACATCAGTACCTGAACTTTCTTGTAATCCTTACAAACGTTGGACCACATGGAATCCTTGTGTGGTCAACGGGTGATACTCATTCTCCAGGCGGCTGTATTACATCCCACCTCTAGCTGGTCCTTGACCTCCAAGAGTTTATGGGCTGGGCGTTCTTCCCACCTGATATGAATGTGGTGTCATTCACAGTAGAAATCACTCTAAGGCTCTCTCTGTAGCCCATCCTCAACTTTGCACTCATGCAGTAACTCTTTCTACAACATTCCTTATACTGATCTCTCCTGGAGTGGACAGGTCACTGTTTAGGGAGGCAGCTCTGGTTATTACAGCTTTTCCTTAAACATTGGGCTGAGAATGACTTCACTCTCATTTCTGCCCATGCTCCACATTCTGCCTTCCTGGAAAATAATGATCATTTCTTTCTGGAGTTGTTCCTACTAGAGGTGCAGATTATTTGCTGATTTCTTCTGTGACGTGGTTTACAAAAGGCCCCTTTGCCATCTAGTAGATTTCAGTGTCATAGTTTGATCCTGGGACCATTACCATCTGATGTCCATCAGTGCACCCTAAAATAGCCTGAACTTCGCCAGCAGCCCCTCACTGCCAGGCCCTATTGAACCCCTGGTCCTGTGTAGCACCCATATATGTTAAGAGCATTCCAGGGCCATCTGGACAGACGAGAAGAGAAGGCCTACATGTGCTTTGGGAGGCTCAGTAAAGGCTTCCTGGAGAAGCTGACCTTGGATATGGACCTTACAGAGCTCAGGCAGTCTTAGCCCAGACTGAGCTTGCAGGATTACAAAGAGGCTTTATGTGTAAGGGCCCAGAAGCAAGAAGACATGGGGAAAAGTTAAGAGATGCAGACCTATCCTAGGTATGCTTCAGAGCACATATTGTGCAGATCCTTAAATGTCACAACCAGATTGTGTTCTTCAGTAGGCCATGGCAAGCTGAAGATTTTTTAGTTTTTCTTAGTTAGTTACCTTCTAGGGAGGTTAGACTGTGGTAGAGTGGACGGTGTATTGAAAGGGAAGAGACGGGGCGCCTGGGTGGCTCAGTTGGTTGAGCGACTGCCTTCGGCTCAGGTCATGATCCTGGAGTCCCGGGATCGAGTCGCACCTTGGGCTCCCTGCTCAGCGGGGAGTCTGCTTCTCCCTCTGACCCTCTCCCCTCTCATGCTCTCTCTATCTCATTCTCTCTCTCAAATAAATAAATAAAATCTTTAAAAAAAAAAAAAAGAAAGGGAAGAGACCAGTTAGGAAGCTTCATGATGGGCTAGACCATGAGCATCTCAACCAAGGCAGGAGTACTTAGAAGGATTATTGCCCCCACATCCTCACCTCTACTTGATATTCTCATGCTTTTTGTTCTTGCTAATCCGATGAGTGTGAATTGGATTTTCATCACTTTAGTTTGCCTTTCATTGATTATTAATGAGATTGGGCATTTTTTCATATGGTTATTAGTCACTCCTTATGCCCAGAATTAAATATTTGTTTGTCTTTTTCTTCATTTGTAGGAGGTTTTTTTTAATTCATTCCAGTAGCTAATCTTTTTTTTTATTCTTGTGTTAATCCCCATACATTACATCATTAGTTTTAGATGAAGTGTTCCATGATTCATTGTTTGTGCATAACACCCAGTGCTCCATGCAGAATGTGCCCTCCTCAATACCCACCACCAGGCTAACCCATCCTCCCACCCCCCTCCCCTCCAGAACCCTGCTTGTTTTTCAGAGTCCATCGTCTCTCATGGTTCGTCTACCCCTCCGATTTCCCCCGCTTCATTCTTCCCCTCCCACTACCTTCTTCTTCTTTTTAATCTTTTGACTTTTAAATATTTGCATGTATCTACCTTCTCCCAGACTGTTCCTTAACCCCTACCCTTATTTATGGTCTTTTTTTTAATACAAGAAATTTTAAATTTTGATGTCATATCTATAAATCATTTCTTTTAGGGTGTATCCTGTTCTTGTTTAAGAAATCCTTCCCTACCTCATGACCGTAAAGAGAGTTCCCAATGTTTTGTTCCCATTATTTAGTTTTTTAATTTCAAAAGTTTTGCCTTTGTTCTGTATTGGGTTTATTTGGGTACCAGTTGTGAGGTAGGAATCTTAATTTTATTTCTCTCCAGCCAAAAGTCAGTTGGATAGTCAGCCCTTTCCCTGTTTTGTGTCATTTCTACTATATACTATCCCACACCTGCTGTGGTATCCTTCTGGGTTCTTTCTTATCTTCCATTGATTGATTTGTCTAGTCGTGTGCCAATACCATATGGAATTAATTACCATAGTTTTGTAGTATGATTGATACCTGGAAAGGCCAGTCCCCTATCTTTCTTCTTTTTTTATTTATCTTTGAAGTTATCTTACCTAACTATGCTCTTACTCTTTGTTGTGAATTTAAGAATTGGTTGGCCAAGCATCCCAAAGTGCTCTTGGGATTTTTATTGGAATTGCATTGAGCTAATAGGTTATGTTTAAGAGAACTGACATCTTTATAGTATTAAGTCTTCTCACCAATGAACAAAGTATTCCTCTCCATTGATTCAGACCATCTTTTATTTCCTTCAGTGAAAGGGTATAATGACTTGCACCTTCATTTATTATTTGTTGAAACGTCCAATATTTCAGTTCCAGACTACAGAATAACTCTATAGTAATAAATGCTAGAATAGTGAAAAACACATTTTAAAGCAGTTTGGGGTTCTATCAGATTGAGGGGATAGAGCTAGCTTTTATTTTCTCCTGTTGGATAACTCTCCTTCCTGTGTGTATCAACAGTAATTCATACAAATGTACCATTTGCCATTGCCGAGCAAAGTTTTGGAACAGGCCATGAAAGACTTCTGCCCCTTGGTTGACATTCATTCCACCAGTGGGCACTTGGCCCAATAGCTATTCACCAGACAGTAAATCCACTAACTGCATGACACCTGTGTATGTTCTCTGCACAGTAAAATTATGAATGATTTTGTCAAATGATTGGCGTAAATAAGGGTCACTTTATCTATAGCATATTCCTTTCCTAATGAACCATTGTTTTTTCTCCAGATCACTTTCAGTATTTTACCAGCCATCGGCATCCGGGCTTCCCATCCAGCATTATGGAAGGTTGTTTCTCTGCACCCCACACACTCATTTGCCCATACCTAGCCTTCTTGGATTCTTTCCCAGCCTCCATGATTTCCCATAATTTGCTAAACTGACACTAGTTTCAACCTCTTATTTCCCAATTAAGTGATCACATCAGCATTTAAAATATCAGCCCATTCTGGGGTGCCTGGGTGGCTCAGTCAGTTAAGCATCTGACTCTTGATTTCAGCTCAGGTCATGATCTCAGGGTCATGAGATTAAGCCCCGCATTGTGCTCCACGTCTGCTCCTCTCAAGTCTGTTTGAGAGTCCCTCTCCTCCCTCTCCCGCTGCCCCTCCCCACCCCCGCTCGTGCTCTTGCAATAAATAAATAAATAAATAAATAAATAAATAAACAAATAAAATATTTAAAAATATGTATCAGCCCATTCCTACTCACAAAAAAACGTACTTGTTTTTAATATTGCTGTGTTCTCTGTCATATAACCTGAGTTCAGAGGCACTTAAACACCAGCATTAAGTATTTGTTCAGGAGACTCCTGTTCTGACTTATAAGACCGTAGTATAAGGTACATTTTTTTAAAACAATGCAATGGATAAAAATGATTAACTAGATAAGCAGCCTTGGTTGGCTCAAAATCTAAAGCTTATTGATGCTTCTTCATACTCTAAGGGTGATAGAGGAAAGAGTATTTGCTTCAAATGCCACGGCTCTTGAGGGGGAAATCTGGTAGGAAATTTTAGGCGACTGCAGAAAAGCTCACTCAGCTTTCCTTCAGTTCTTTAACCGGATTAACATTAACGATTTCATTGTCATTTGTGTTTCTCCAGCTTCCAATTGTAGAAAAGATAAGAACCATTGCGCAGGCTGTGTATGGAGCCAAAGATATCGAACTGTCTCCTGAGGCACAATCCAAAATAGATCGTTACACGCAACAGGTAAAAGTTACACTTTTAAGGGGAAAAAAATCCGCCTTAGGCTCTTAAAATACTCACCTTGACGTAAGGACTGTTATAAGTCTCACCAGCCGAACATGATTTAATCTACGTGGTCTACAAAAATTGAATTAATATCCGTGGGTTGTTTGTTGACTATAAACAGAACAGTCGGGCGAGGGTGTATACCCTCTGATAGATACATCATTGACTTTCGTGGTTATCAGGTGGCTGATATGGGTGGTGTCGTATCTGTGATAAGAGGTGGTTAGTCCCTCCTGCTCAGCCAGAAACACTGAAACTTCTTGGATGTGTGGCTGTGTGTCAGAGCTGGATGATGTGTCGCACCCCCTCTTCATTGCAGGGCTCTTCCTATCTTAAAAATGTTACACGGTGCTAGGTAAGGCAAGTCGTCATGCAGCTTTTAAATATGGGGGTGTTTGGTGTTCCTTTTTTACGCAAGTGGTTCACTGGCTTGGTGCTGAGATTTTCCACCCAAGTTGAAGGTCCTGTCACCGTCTACCTCTAGAGAGTGACAAAGGCAAATCAGCAAGTGGCTGTGAAGGTGGTGGGGACTCAGCCGCCTGAGTCTGGTCCTAAAAATGATCATGTTTCATGGATTCCATCCACTGCAGCTCATTCAGCCACCCCGACCAAAATGACCCTAAGCCCCGGATGCCCCCTCCGGTTTGCTATGATATGATAGAAATCAAAGCACTTCCAAGAGCTTCATCATGAGCATCACGGATCTCCTTTTTTCAATTCCCAACTCCTAAATCCTATTTGTAAATCGTATTTGACATTATGCTGAATATACCAGTGCTGACCAGAGTATTCTCCCAGGTTTGGTAAGATAGTCAGCAACTTGTTTGTTCGTAGAATTTTCCAAGTATGACCTCGGCTTGTGCTTTTAAAAAATAAATAATTCCCTTGGGGCACCTGGATGGCTCAGTCGGTTAAGCATCCAACTCTTGATTTTAGCTCAGGTCATGATCTCAGGGTCCTGGGGTCGAGTGCTGCATCAGGCTCCACGTTCAGTGGGGAGTCTGCTTGAAATTCTCTCTTTCTCCCACTGCTGCTTCCTTGCATGCTCTCTCTCTCTCTCTCAAATAAATAAATAAATCTTTAAAAAATAAATAATTCCCCAGAATTATTCTACACACCGGCAGGATCTGCAGTGAAATTTCACTAGTATATAATGAAATGAGTAAAGTGAGGTCATTGTCATGAGTCTTTTTTTTTCACAAGTTTTTAATAATATTTAAGGACTATTATTTATTCTAACATTAGTTCCTTCCCTTTTTTTCAGTCTAAAAAACTTCTTTTTTATATGAACTAATGTGGTGCTAGTATATACCATATTGGTTTTTTTCTTTTTTTAAAATATCTGTACTGGCGGGGCGCCTGGGTGGCTCAGTTGGTTAAGCGACTGCCTTCGGCTCAGGTCATGATCCTGGAGTCCCGGGATCGAGTCCCGCATCGGGCTCCCTGCTCGGCAGGGAGTCTGCTTCTCCCTCTGATCCTCCCCCTCTCATGCTCTCTGTCTCCCATTCTCTCTCAGATAAATAAATAAAAAATCTTTAAAAATATATATATATCTGTACTGGCAAAATGTTAAATTGGAAACCTACATCAGTTCAAATTATTTCACTAGTTGAATGATCTCTAAGACCCAAAATTCCTACCAGAACAATTGTGATTGTCCCCCAGCAGAATTCTGATCATTGTATGAGAGTATTCCAGCATTTCAAAAAAGAAAGGCCCCACCCCACAAATGAAAATACCCTAAAATCGTCCAAATACTTTTAAATTGAATCATAAGAAAGTCTGCATGCGTTACCTCTGAAGACTGCATTCCTTTTATCCCTGTCTACTGAGGGAATATTCCTTAAAAGTTATGTGTTCAGTATGTGGTTGCCATTAATTAGCAAAGTCTCTAAAGGGACACTATGTACCCTTTAATCGGAACCAGGCTGCGAGGACACTGTCCTTTTTGTGAGACCCACATGTGACTTCCTGCCCTTTCACCTTTGGAACTCTGGGTCAGGCATTGCCTTTGGTCCTTAAAAATAAGAGGCTTAAAAAGTGACCTCATCTTAGTTCATATAATGTAATCGCAGATCAAATAGCCATGATTCATAAACCAACACAAAGGGACCCTTTGCTTCCTGACAGCCTCCAAGAATGAAGGAACAACAGGACTGAGAGCCTCATTACAGAGCCTTTCTCCAGATTACCTTTCTGAGCCCCAGATATTAATATCCTTGGAAATAGTTTCAACAGCTGCTATTGCTTCTACTTTGCCTGAAAATAGCCACACTTTCTCCCAAACACACACGTCATGGCGCCTTCCTTAAGGAGATTTCTCCGAGATAAATAATAGACACCCTCGGGCACCTGGGTGGCTCAGTTGGTTAAGCGGCTGCCTTCGGCTCAGGTCATGATCCTGGAGTCCCGGGATCGAGTCCCGCATCAGGCTTCCTGCTCGGCAGGGAGTCTGCTTCTCCCTCTGACCCTCCTCCCTCTCATGCTCTCTGTCTCTCATTCTCTCTCTCTCAAATAAATAAATAAAATCTTTAAAAAATAATAATAATAATAATAGACACCCTCAACCACGTGACGGTCACTTGGAAATGAGGGTTCATCCCATCTTCTTGCCCAGTGAACCGGCACCTGCCGTGTGCCTGATCTGAGCCTCGGGGATGGTGTGTAGTCAAGTTGAACACACACAGGAGCCTAATTTGTACTCAGTGAACACCTTTCCTTTCCTTTCTTACAGGGTTTTGGAAATCTGCCCATCTGCATGGCAAAGACCCACCTTTCTCTATCTCACGAACCTGACAAGAAAGGTGTACCCAGAGATTTCATTTTGCCCATTAGTGATGTTCGGGCCAGCATAGGTGCTGGGTTCATCTACCCTTTGGTTGGAACGGTGAGTAGCATTCTCCAGAAGCCTCCCCCAGGCTGTGTGTCCTGATGCCTTCAATCCTTATGTTCTGCCTACACTTTGCAAGCCAGGTGTTAGGAAATAATAGGACTTGCTATTTTTCTAAACATTCTCTTCCACCATGTAAAACTCCTCTGCCGTCATGGTTTGGATTTTTCTTTTTCTTTTCTTTAAGATCAGGTGTTCAGGATCTCTTGAGTCATAAAACTGATTCCACTCACAGAACTCGGAAGAGAGTAACTTGGTACAGTTCGGTCTGATGTTTAAACAGTGGAATGGCTTAGCATAGTGTCTCTGGACCTTTTTCACATTATTGTATTCAAAATGATAAGATTTTACTCTATTCAGATAAATGGAGGTGCCTGCTCATGCCAGGCTCATGCTATGTTAAGAATATAGATGAAAGCAGATGTTGAACAGGGGAGAAGCAAGGATAAACATGACAGAAGTGAGAAGAGGGTGAAGGACCATACTCTAGAAATGTCTACATTTACAGAGCCCTGCAAGGAGTCTGGGGGGACCCGTTGAAGGTCTGGGGGGTGTAAGGAGACCAGGGCTTCTTTATAGCCAACACAGTGATAGACCTTCCGTTGGTAACCATCAGTGGCCAAAATCTGACTTCTCATGCTTGGAGTGCTCCTGGATTAGATTTAGAACAAAAAAAGTCTAAGTCGCCATTATCCTTATTGTTGTTGTTACAGATTGATCCAAGTCCAAGCAGGAAACATTATAACAATTTTTTTAATAAGCCCATATGGCTCTGTTGTGCTGTAAATAAGCAGTGGATAGGCAAAAGTACATAAAAAATGCAAGATTTTTGCCTTGATGTTTATACATTTCATCTGATGTTGGGCAAAATGTTTTCAGTAGGCATCTCTTGAATTCTTTATTGCATCTGAGGCGTAGAGTTACCAGTAGGGGTGTCAGGAGCACAAGAGCACCTAGAAAGCGTGGAATTGGCATTCTGAATGCCCTCAGCCAGGGGTAGCAAGAGCAGCTTCCGACTGAGGTGGGTGAGAGAGGAGGGTACGTGGAAGAAGAGAGTCACGAGTACTTCACAAAAGCCGCAACCTCCGACCCGGGGAAACAGTGAATTTCAACTCAAGGGCACAATGTACATGACAGGCCCAGAGAAGTCCAGTGTGGCTGGGGTTGGACGGGATGGGGAGGCTGAGAAATGGCATTGGGATAGCAAGACGGGGCCAAGCTATTACAAAGCTTGATTACATCAACGGGAACTTGGGTTTTTCTCCTGTGCACACTGGGGAGTCACTTCAGGATGGTTTCTGCGTTTGTTTTGGGTTTTTGTATTTTTTATAAGAAGAAGAAGGTGATCTGATTTTTATTTTAGAAAAAGAGCTCTGACAGCCAATGGAGAATGTTCAGAGGGCCAAGGGCCAGAGCCAGGGAAATATCAGTTGAGGCCAGAGTTCATCAAGGTCAACACTGCAATCACTGAAGCTAACGTGGAGAGAGAGGCGACTTTGAGACATATTTAAGGGTAGCCACCTACACATGGGGTCATGGGGTGGGCCACTCGCAGCTTGACTGGGATGGTGGTGCCGTCAGTCCTGGAAGGAACACGGTGGGAGGCAGATGGGCAGAGCCAGAAATGAGTCTGGCTTAGATGTGGAGGACTGCGAGGGTTAACAGGATATATAAAGTGGTCTGTGGATCTATTAGAAATACAGACACAGCACTCAGAGGGAAGGAATAGAAAGGAAGGCCTTGAGAGTTTTAAGAATATAGATGAAAGCAGATGTTGAACAGGGGAGAAGCAAGGATAAGCATGACAGAAGTGAGAAGAGGGTGAAGGACCGTACTCTAGAAATGTCTACATTTACAGAGCCCTGCGAGGAGTCTGGGGGGACCCGTTGAAGGTCTGGGGGGTGTGAGGAGACCAGGGAATCCCACAGGAGTCCGCGGGAGGGTAGCAACAGTGTTGGTACAGGGAGAAGGGTTGAAATTTTATGGGTGCCGAATGACCTTTCCAGAAGGGAGGAGGGGCGTGATTGCAGAGGGGCACAAGGGAACTTTCTGGGGTGATGGAAATACTCTGTATTTTGATTATTTTGATTGTGGTGATAGTTCCATGACTATATACCTTTGTCAGAACTCATAGACCTACACAATAAAAAAGATGAATTTTACTGAGTATAACTTAACTATACCTCAATTAACAAAAATGGATAGTGAGAAGAGTTTGCTTTTTATGCTCCCTAGAATGGCCTCAATGATGGCAGCTCCTCAGTGCTAAAAGTCTCCTGAGCGTTGGTCAGTGAAGGCCTTTGCTTAGGAATAAGAGCACAGCCTGGGAGAGCAGCCCAGAGAGACTGGAAGACCGAGAGACGAGGGGCTGTGCTGCGGAGCGGGGGGCGGGGGGGCAGAACCGAGGAGAAAGTCAGCCTCCTTCAGAATCTATCCTGTCTTGCCCAGATTAAAACCCCGCAGTATCTCACCCAACAAATTCGTTCATTCATTCATTCATTCATTCAGCCAGTGTGCATAAGGCACTGTGTTCAGCGCTCTGGGTAATCCCCCAAATAAAGAAGCTTTCAGTTCTAGCAGCTTACAGCTAATAGAGGTAGATAGAACTGAATTAGAGAGACAGTGGTTTGGTATAAAAATTAGGAACCAATAATTGATAGCCTTAATAGTTCTGAGCATTTGATAGTCATTAAATAAAAATCATCATATAATCTAAAATCCTGTGGTCACTAATAAGCAAATGTATGCTATGCATCCTTGCCCGTCCCGCCACCACCACGTGTGAGAGCAGTTCTGACATCAGAATTCTAGAACCGCCGCTGCTCCACTCATAGGACAACGACTGTGTGGATTCGACCCCGGGGGGGTGGCCGTGGGCTCACTGGGTGTCCTGAGGAGAGCCTTCTGCCACCGTGTGGCGCCCCCACCTCAGGGCAAGGCGGGGAGCATCAGTGAAACAATCCAGCCTGAGGAACCAGGAAGGAAGTGGTGTCTGACTAAAGAAGTTCCTGGAAGTCAGGGAACGGTCACGGTCACATGGAGGCGGTGGCCTTAGAGGTCCGCTTTCCATGCCGGCAGGAAGTTGCGCGTGGATCAGGGCAAACGCACCGCTGGGAGGCCAGGATCGCCTAATAAGGGCTGGTATTTACTTTTACTTGATCCCATTTTGGCCCCTGCCCCAGTCTGCTGAAATGCTTCCAACATTCATCACCCTTGCAGGAGACACGGTGTAGTAATTTCCTGCCGAGATGACCGAGAGAAAGGGGAATGGGGACACCGGAGGGGCTGGTTCCTGCAGGTGGGAAAATTCTAGCATCGTGAGTCACTCTTACTCTTAATCACAAAACGTGCTTATTTGAGTACTTGTGAAACACATATCCGTCTATCCACTCCGGAAGGAAAGCCCAAACTCAGACCTCAAAAATCAGAAAGCTTCTCATTTTTTCTGCAGTGTTCATTCATTCTCTCAGTCTCTCATACAACCACGTGGAGGTGAACAAGATCAAGTCCTTCCCTAATGGGTCTTATGATGTACCCTAGTAAAAGAAAACATAACAAGTACAGAAAGCTGTGGACTTGAGAACAAAGGAGAAGCACCCTCTGACTACGTAGTAGGTCTAAAAGGGGAGAATGTCAATAAAGCAAGTCTGTCCTCAAACAATAAACATCTCCAGCCCTGCTGACTTTGAGCAATCACGCGGTAAAATGCTGGGGAGTTCAGTTTTCCCCTCCAGATTTAGCTTTGTAAATATTTACTGCCTAACCTCCCCTCCCCCACTGTCTTTACTTATAGGCCGATGTTTTTTGCCATTTAATTTTTTCATCATGTTCTATTTACTTATTACACAATACAAAAATAATGGTAGTAAATACCATTAACTGCCGTAGACCCTTCACCAGTACATTTCACTTTTCCCCAAGCCGTTTGTATAGAAACACCCAATACAAGGATTACGCAGCTTATGGACATCTGAGGCCTTTATTACCACTCTAACGTGCATTCACAGAGTTTCCCATCTGGCTGTAGCTAATTTTTCCTTTGTAAAATAAGTCTTCATTCCTACTAAGCACCGTATGTATTCTTGTTTCTCTTTAGTGACATACTTACGTATTATTTCTGGCATATTATTGAAAGCTCCAAAATAGTACAAGATTCTTGCTCAGCTCCTCACTACTTAATGAATCTCCCTGTAAGAAACAGTTTAACAAATACAGATCTTTGATGTGGGAAGAAAAGAGCAAATTGTTTTCAAGATTTTCCTACCCTGTATTCTACAGATTACCCTGTTACGTTATGTTTCCAAAATTCTTTCAAAGCTCATGGTTTATGGTGTTCAATAAACCGAATAGCTTATAAAATTTCTCCAAAACAGTCTTGGGCCAAAAGAAATCTACTAGGTGGTCTTTGTCTTCTGGTCACATTGTTTTGATATTGTCTTTAAGTTTCTATAATTTACAAGGGCTCTTTAATCATGTGGCGTAAATTTCACGACATAAAAATATTAGCCTGTAAGTGAAGTATGTGCCATGATAGAATTGAGAAGTAAATTACACCCCACATAGAGAAAGACTATGAAAGACACCAAAATGGTAACACTGGGCTGCTATATTATAAATAGCTTTTTTTCTTTACTTTTCTGCTTACTTCAGTATCTGCATGGAGCATGTGGCCCTTTTATAACATGAAAATACAATAAATAGTGGCACCTGGGTGGCTCAGTCGGTTAAGCGTCTGCCTTCAGCTCAAGTCATGATCTCAGGGTCCTGGGATCGAGCCTCGAGTCGTGCTCCCTGCTCAACAGGGAGCCTGCTTCTCCCTCTCCCTCTGCCCCTCCCCCTGTTCATGCTCTCTCTCTCTGCCTCAAATAAATAAATAAAATCTTAAAAGAAAAGAAAATACACTAAATAGGCAGGTGATTAACTAAAAGCACTTGGAAACAATGTTTATATAAGGCCAGTCGGTTGCCAGGGAGTCAGGACACATGTGCAGCAGGTGGAATCTGGCAGGTCGCATCACCTTGCCCATCGCAGCTGCCCTGCAGGGTTTAAACACCTGTAAAGTTGAGACACTGAAGGAAGCACAGAGGACTTAGGATGTTCCCATAAGAAATGCACCCCTGAGTGTGGTTCGTCTGGTTCTGTCTAATGTCTGCTGGCCCCAGATCTGCTATGGAAGCACAAGACTGTGTTTTCTCTGCTCACTTGTCCAGGGGCTCTTCTTGGCCACCGTCATGGGGTAGAGAGCAGATGAGTATGTCCTCCCTTCTCAGGCGCTCTCACACAGCTCTGCATGGAGCTCACAGCTGCATGGAGAGGTGTCCAGCTACCTGTGAATTCCACCAAAGGTCCATTTGATGTTAGTGTTCAGTGTATCTGACTATTCTCTTTCAAACACGCACCGAGCCTCCCAAAGAACTTAGAAAGAAGTCCTCATGTAGTGAGGCCCTCTTGAATCTGAAATCTTCTTTATTGACAAACATGGGGCATAAAATGAGGACATGACGACTCTCAGGGACAAGAATATGGGCTAGAATCTTGGGGTTAAGCAGCCTCCTGGTTCACACCTAAGGGATTATGTTGTCCTAGGCTGCTGATATGGGGATCACTGCCAGGTAGAGCATTTCTGGGAGGCAGAGCTGCCCCTTGAAACCGTACAGAAATAGACTGAGTGCTTTCGCCTCACAGACTGACAAGCAGAGAAAGACATCTTGGCTGGGGACTAGACAATGCAGCGGGTCAAAGCTCCCTCCTCCCTTCCCATGCCCTTCACTTTGGTCCCTGCACTCTTCCTGGAGCAGAGCAGTGTTGGTGTGTTTTTTGCTCCTGCCATGATTGGCCTGGCCTGGACCCATCACGGTGTGCGGGTCTATCCAAGGAAGAGGGGCCGAAAGATCAGTGGTAAAGCAAGCAGTTTATGGAGCGAACAAACGAACGAGCACTGGTGTGGCCTTCATTTCCACTCTGACCTGACCCGGCTCCATCTCTGCCCAGGTCTGACCTGGTCAGCCGCTGACTGCATTGCTTGGCCGGGCTCTGGAAAGCAGGAAACTGCTGGAGTGTAGTTGGGAAGTGAGTGATGTCATCCACAACTCATGCTGGGTGGAGACTTAGTGGACTGGGGGGCAGGGGGTGGGGGGAGTGAAAAAGTAGACTGTGGCCCCACCCCGCTAAGTCATGGCCGGTTTGTTCTTTCTCATGTTTTGGTTAAGCTCACTTTGTAAAAGTATGTCCTGAATGTTTAGTTTCTACTGGATCTGATTCAGGTCAGCGACGTTATTCTCAGGCTCCGTGGGGATATGTTCTCTCCTCTGTGTGCCGGCCCCACTTAGGGACATGTGGTTATAAACTTGCTTCACTCGGTTAAGCATGAAGGTGAATTAATTCAGACCTTGTAGGTTCAAATCAAATGCATCACTCCCCACATTTTCCAAAGATTTATGGCCAGTTACGTAGTGAAAAAATTAAACATTCACTCTCTGGGCTGCACTTTAAGATTTTATTTATTTATTTGACAGAAAGAGAGAGAGAGAGCACAAGTAGGCAGAGCGGCAGGCAGAGGGAGAGGGAGAAGCAGGCTCTCCGCTGAGCAGGGAGCCCGACGTGGGGCTCGATCCCAGGACCCTGGGATCATGACCTGAGCTGAAGACAGCCACTTAACCGACTGAGCCACCCAGGCGGCTCCCCCCACCGGGGGTGTACTTTAAATGCAGTGGATAAGCAGTCACGTAGTAAAGGGCTCACTGTCCCATGAGATCATGCGGAACTCCCTTGGCCATGGAGCATCCCTCAGACCCTCAGAAACTACAAAATCACCCCCTCCTTTTTACTCCTTGCCCTCCCTCTCTTGCTTTCCCTGCCTTCCCACCCCAATCCTCCCAAGTAAACAAAGAATTCTAAGCTGATTTCTTTTGAGTCCTGCGAACAGCCTTTCTGTCTCCCCTGCTCCTTGGCTCTGGTTACCCCAACCACCTGAAATGAACCAGCCTTCCGCCCTGTTCATGGCTCTCCCTCTGCAGCTGGGCTCTGTTTCTTCATACCATGTCCTTTCACTCCGTTCCTGGGGATCTGCTTGGTTTCCTCTGCCCACCCAGCTTGGGACCCCTGCCCGCTGCTCTTCCTCATCTCTGCATCAGAATTTCCTGCTTTCTCCCCAACATGCCTTCCTCTGGCTCAGGCATCCACTTGGCCCCTCCCCCCGATGTCCCTGCAGCAGGCTGCCTGGTTGCTTTGTGACCACATCTTCCTCCCCAGTGTCCAGAGGCCAGCTACACGTGTGTCTGTCCAGCAGGAGAGAAGTCGTCCCTGTCTTCCGGTGTGACATGTTTTAGGGGAAAGGAAGGTGACCAGCAGCACTCTCGAGTTCCAGAAACCGTTTATCAGATTGACGAGCCAGGGGAAGCTCTGTGACTCATGAAAATGACATTTGTTCTCTATTGCAGAAGGTTGCCTAGGTCCAAGTCCATTTGCTTACAGGATCTTTTTTCGCCCCTAGTTTGATGCTGATTTATTTTTAGCATAAATATAAAATTACTTTAAATGAAATTGGCCTTGGCTGGGGTAATAGGCTGAGAAATAACATTTTCAGATATCTCTGTCATTGAGTTTAAGTTTTCACCTATGGTTATCAATCCCCATGTGTTGGTTCTTTCTTACTTTTCTACAAACCGAGAAGAGGGTGCTTACAGTGCTTAGGCATCCAGCCCTACAATCGGTATATTGATCTTTTGTTTTCTCTAGGGATTGGTGAAGTATTGGCCCGTTTCTCCTCCACTTCCATCTACAGCCTACTTGTTTTCTCCCTGTGTTTGGTTTGGATTTAGAGCATAACATTGATAATGGAAGCATTCCCCAGTCCAGAACTTCTGAAAGACACCCATAGAATTATCTGGTACTCCTGGAGCTTCTCTTTAATTCTGTGCCTCTTTGTTGTATACTTGGATATCCCAGTCTTTAGTAATATGCATATAATCAGAAGCAGCTCAGTAATTTATGTGAGAGAAATAAAATTAATACAAACGAGAATACCGGTTTTCCCAACTAAAGGGCCCAGCAGTCCTCAGAGTCAGTTTGAGGGCGTGGTGGGAATGGATGAATAGAAAGAGAAGCTAGATTTATCGGAAAATATCACACTTTAAACCTACAATTATAATTTTTGAGGAAAATATAATTGATAATATCTGAATTCAGGGCAGTTTACAGGCCTAAATATATGTGTTCATTCATGTATCCACCCATGGATATCAGATTTTTAAATGTTAAAATACATAATTGACATATTATGTGTCTCCATAAAATATCTGCTGTATATCACTTTTGAAAGAATTGGTTGTCCTTTAGTCTTTACTAGGTATCACTGAAAATTCAAAATATTTTATACCAGTGAGTATCACAGATCTAATTTAATCAGGGAACAAATGTAAAGCTCTTAGGTATTGGGGATATAACTTATGTTAGATTAAGTGATCAAATGGAGGTATTTATTTATAAGTCCCTGGACGACCCGTAAAGAAAATTCATAGACATATTGCCAACCCCCTGTAAGAATTTGCTGGGGTGACTGCATTAAGTATTAGTAATAAAGGCACCACAGTCTGCCAACGAGGAGACTTAGGGCTGGCAACAGAAGTTGCTGCATCAATCATGGACATCATTCTTCTGTTGGAGACTCATTCCAACCCCAAGAATCAGCTCTAGAGACTGTAGGACCCATAAAACTATCTTCCTTACACTTTCCAAAATCCATCATCCCATTCCCAAATTTATCTGTGTTTCTCCTCTGAATACAGACTTCCCCAAACTCCAGACCTTCTCCCCAGGACTGGCGTTGGGGAGACGGTCCCCTGCGACACCTGCTCACGTCCAACCAGTCCATCTCTCACTTGAGTGTGCCCTTGACCTTGTGCCGCCAGCTCCACCCAGCTAAGAGGTGGGGTGTCTGTGTCTTTCCCACGCCGCCTTGCCCAGCATCTCCTGTTCATCCAGACCCTCCTGGTAAGGACCATGTCTTCAGTTCTCTTGACCTTTCCACCCTTGGAAGCCCAGTGTAGAACATACATTTTGAGCCGCCTGTGTGTGTTGGTAGCCTGCCAATTCCACAGAACTCTCTGCCGGTGTGAACTCACCCTTCGTATGATCCCAAAGTGAAGTTCCAGTTGGGAAAAGCAGTCTTCTGGGAAGTTCATAGCAGTGGCTTTAGTGCCCACCAGCCGTATCTGCTCATAACCCCAGCCTTTCCCAATCAGTGCCCTAGCCTTTCTTCTTGAGCCCGTTACTGACTATAAACCAGGTCCAAATATATATATATATATTTTAAATATTTTATTTATTTATTTGACGGAGAGAGAGAGACAGTGAGAGAGGGAGCACAAGCAGGGGGAGCGGGAGAGGGAGAAGCAGGCTTCCCGCGGAGCAGGGAGCCCGATGTGGGACTCGATCCCAGGACCCTGGGATCATGACCTGAGCCGAAGGCAGACACTTAACGGCTGAGCCACCCAGGTGCCCCTAAGCGTTCTTGATAGATGGGCTTATTAATATCTTGCAGCTCTATGTACATGTGGTGGTGGGGTCCTGTACAGTCTCTTTCTTGTAGCAGGATAACTTGCCTTTGCTACCTGAGGGTCAAACCAACTAGGATCCCCAGGCAGGAGAGCCTGCATCTCTTGAGTCATTGTTTCCTTATGTCCAAGTCTGTGCCCAGGCTCTGGCCATCTTTTTTTTTTTTTTTTTAAGATTTTATTTATTTGACAATGAGAGAGGGAACACAAGCAGGGAGAGTGGGAGAGGGAGACGCAGGCTTCCCGCAGAGCAGGGAGCCCGATGTGAGGCTCGATCCCAGGACCCTGGGATCATGAGCTGAGCTGAAGGCAGACGCTTAACCTACTGAGCCACCCAGGTGCCCCCCAAATATATTTTTATTACTGTGCTTACATACGGACTCGCAGACCAAGTATCCCACCAAATGGTACGGCTTGGCAGTCTGGCCATTTGTGTGGAAACTGCTTATCCACATTTTGCATGGATGTATCCAGTCCTCCTCCTGTGTGCTGCATCTTCCATCCCTCCTTCTCCTCCTCCACACAACAGTATTTTAACCACAGGTCAGACACTGTTCCCAGTGCTTTATACAGATGAGCTCATTACTCTCCATACCAGCCCTCGGAGCATGGTTGATGATAAATGGCAAGGGAGAGTGCTAGTGTTCTGAATATTAAAGCTTATGAGGTCTTTACTCAAGAATAACTTAGATTGTAAATGTCTTGATGTTTTCTTTTCGTGGATCAATCAGTGTGTTTTCATCGTGCCAGGTGTGTTAAGCCCTGACACACATAACAAAGCATAAAATGTGATGTCACCCTAAGGGGGTTGGAGAATATTTGGATTAATAAGGCGTCAACATTTTCAAAATCGCAACAAATAGCTTGTGCGTTTGCTTGCCGAACGAAAGATGTAAATGATAAATGCAATAGAACTTCAAAGAAAGCAAAGGCCACTTGGGAAGATTGGTTCAAGATGATGGCTTTGAATGACATACTGAGGTGTACTAGGGCTTTTGAGATTTTGTGGGCAGAGAACCACCCTGGTCGTGATCTCCTGAAGGAGAGACTGAGGCCAAGAGCCTTTGAGGGGCCTGTGCCAAGGTCTGAGTGAATGTCATGGGCCGGTGACGGGGAAAGGACAAGGGACGTGGAGAGGAATGTGTGTGTGCTGGGAGACCAGTAGAAGTCACAGGAGCCAACAAGGGATGGAATGTGAGGAAGGAGTGTCAGGTGCCTCCTGGGACCTAGAAGGCTATACCTGGAAAGAGCAAAGATGGCAAGCTGCTGTGGCCGTGAACGTGGAGACTTACATGTTGTCTGAGGTGCCCACTGAACTCTGAACTTCCTGCCGAGTCATCTGTGAGACAGAAATTAGTTTCCTGCACTGCCAGGAGTGACACTTGGAGAGTTTTTTACAATGGAGTGATGTACAATTTCTAAATTTTGTTCCAATTAAAAACATTTTTGCGTGTCCGATTTGCACGGTGCACGGAGGTTACCAAGACCAGAAACACCCAGCCCCTGCCCCAGATGCCTTATGCTGGGGGAGGCGCTAAACACGTGCATGCCAGCAACGTGCTGATGGTGCCAAGGTGCAGAGGGATACTGAGGACTCACGTCGCTTGTGAGAAGGAGCAGCAGTGCAGAGAACCTCCCGGCTGTGCCCTCGAGGTGTCCTGAAAAAGCAATGCTTACGGGGTGGGGGGCTCAGGTGAAGCGTTCCAGACACAGCAGTGGGCAGGAGCCCCACCATGGAGGGCCTTAGTGGCCATAGCTGGGAGTTGAATACAGGGAGGGTGAGCCATCAGAAGACCTTAGCCAGTGGACTGATGTGAGCAGACCATTTCAAAAGCTAGCAGTCTCTCAATGGTGGCCCTCGGGGGGGGTGCTGCATGCCCACAATGCGCGCTCTCCGGGCCATTCTTTATTGTCTTTTTTTTTTTTTTTTTTAAGATTTTATTTATTTGACAGAGAGAGAGAGCACAAGTAGGCAGAGAGGCAGACAGGGAGAGGGAGAAGCAGGCTCTCCACTGAGCAGGGAGCCCGACGTGGGGCTCGATCCCAGGACTCCGGGATCACGACCTGAGCCAAAGGCAGCCACTCAACTGACTGAGCCACCCAGGCGCCCCTCTTTATTGTCTTTAAAACAGAGAAACAAAACCTCTAGCAGTTTCCATCACCCAGGCTGTGTGAGTCCTTTTACAGGATGGATCTTGTACCAGGTAACCAAGGAGGCTCGAAGTGTCAAAACGGACAACTCCGGGCTGGGTCAGGGGACAAATGGGGTGCTTCTGCACTGTAGGGCTGCCTGTGGGGACAGTGGAGAAATACTCTTTCTATATCCATTTAGTCATTAAGCCTCAATTATCTGGTTTCTGAGTGAGCTGTTATTTGCTACGAATCAAAAGCTTTTAAAGTTGCTTCAAACTACATTACACAAATAAAGAGAATTGGCCTACAAATAAAGGAAGCAATCTCTTCTGTGAGGCGCCATGCATTATTTGTCTGACTTGCACAGATATCGCCGATCCATTAGAATCCTCCGCTTCCATCTTCTTTGCTGCTCTATCACAGTTATTGTAAGTCCACTGGGACCAATAACCTGAGTTTCCCTTAGCTTTGCTCTCTTTTTTTATGGCATGGTTGAAAGCTATTTCCAAATGGCAAAGAGTTAGCTTGTCATCAAACCTATAAAATCACAATGATATGTGAAAGGCTCCCTTTGAGCAGTGAAAAATCCTGAGTACCGCTTGTATTAAGAGACAGTTTTTAGTTTGGGCCTGCAAATACTTGTTACAAGGACTGGTCTGCTAAAGGTCAGTTTGAGGATGGGCAGTCCAGCTCCCAGATCCACACTGGTATTGGCCTTCTGTCCCTAATGAATTTAGCAGATTACTCCTTTGGAGTCCTTCATGCTGATTAAAAACTATTTACTTACCAGTACTTTTCACGTGGGTAAAATCATTACATAGATGGCTGTAAGTTCTCTGTTATTTATAATAACCATCACTGACTTTTTCTTCAAGCTGTTTTGACAGCTGGAGGTCATTTTATTTTTGATAAGTTTGTCATAAAGAATGGAATGTGCTCGATTTTAGAAATGGAATCGTTTTGGCAGGAAGGCGCAGAAGAGACACCAAACCACCTAACAATGGGATTCCAACAGGACATCCATTCGGCTTCTTTGAAGCCCTTTTAGTTTTCATTCAAGGCATAAATTGGAACCTTATATCTTTCTGTTGAGTAGGAAGTATTTCAGACGGGGGGGAAAAAAGATGGCCACCACCACATCACTGGAAAAAGAACAGAAGTTTTAGGAAGAATACATTAGGTTCACAGATGACTGCTTCAGATAGATTCTTCTTCTATTTGGACAGTAGGCAGTTAATAGGACGTGGAAGCTTTGGTGGGGAATATCTGCAGCCCTGAAAGAACATTTGCCCATAAATCCTACTCTAGTGCTTCTTTGTGATCACAGATTCAGGCTCCCCAGCTTGATGGAGTGTCCAGTTCATCTCAAGTGCCCCAGCCTACTCTGCATCTCTCCCTGACACCCCAGTCCTCCCTCCTGGGTTATTATCCACATGCAGACACTGCTCCCTGTGTATCATAACTCTAAAAACAAAAACTCTGCCTACACTCGTTCAGTAAATGTTGACAGATCTGCAGTTGTTAACTCTCTTTTTTTCTGTATCTCGACAATGAGCACATGAGCAGACATCTTCCTAGCCCCAAAAGAATCCATTCTTTTCTCCTGAGTGGATTATGTAATTTTTAAAAAGATTCACTGAAGGGAGGGTTAAAGATACTAATGTCTGGATAGTTTCAGGACCAGAATGATTGTCTCTAAATATATTCCATGTTTGTATGTTTATGCTGTTTAATGACTTGGAGAAATAATTGATTTGCTTAGTGGAAAACTAAATGAGATTCATAGCCCATAATTCAACAATGTGAAAATGCATAGAAAAACAGCTAGAAAGAAAGGGATGCTTATATAAATTATAAAGGTAATAAAAATTAAAACTGTAATCAGAGCGAACATTTACTGAGCACTCGCTGGGGGTCAGGTGGTCTTTTGGGCAATTTGTATGTATTGGTTGATTTAATGCTCACAGCGCCTTTTCCAGGTAGGTAATATCATTGTCCTTGTTTTACACACAGGGAAACCAAGGCACAGAGAGGTTAAGTAACTTTCCCTGATCAAAGAGCTAGTAAGGGGCAGAACCACCATTCAACCCTCGCATTGCCCCGTAAGAAATAGTATACCATCTTTGTACTGTTTGTACTGATTATATGGTCTTATTTTCACATCCTCGGAGTTACTGAAAGTGACCCTTGGTTCTGGTAACCATCTAATTAGAAAGAGTGGTTCAAATGATCTACTCCAAAACCAATCCCATTATGGGAGCATATGGTATCCAAAACCATATTGCTTGATATTCATTAATTTCA